TAAAATGAAGCATATCGGGGTCCTGACTTACCCCTTATCTTAAACCGAATTCAAACCGACATATAATTTGGTTTGGCCAAACTGAATAATATCTAGGTTTGGTCTGGTTTCAAGGCCCTAAACCGAAATATTATCGCCAACCATGCCTCCTTGTTTTCTTCTTATTCTTCGCCACCATTATCTCCCTCCTCCGCCGCTACTCTCTCCCTCCTCTTTGTCTCTCACTCTCTCAAAAGAATTTGCAAAAGACGGCCGCCAAAAATCCTTCTAACCTTCGATTTTCGACTTCCCTATCTGCCTCTACTGTGTGCTCCGTCTGTCTCCTGCCACTGCCACTATCTCCCTCCTCTCTGCCTCTCGCTCTTTCAGAAGAATCTATAGAAGACGAATGCCACTAATTCCTCTCTCCGGATCTTGCATCTCCACTCTATCTCTCGATTTGCGACTTCCCTATCCGCATAAATTGATCGCTCTTTGCTCCTGCTCTAGGTTGAATCATGTGTGGAATGGACTTTGCATGTCGGGGAGCTCCTCTCCTCTTTTGTCGTGGTGTGAGCATGAAGGAGAAGATGGCAGAGCGATGGCCGATTTGATGGCGGATGGCGAGGCGGTGGCGGCCGCTATGTGAGGTTGGAGAGGATGGGGTTTCGGTGGGCTTGAGAGTGGTTGTGGGTTGGGTTGCACTAGGCTGTGGGGTAAGAGAATGGCTTAGGGTTGGGCTGTTGTGGGCATATTTTGGTTTTCGATCGGAATTCAGAATCTCAGTTTGGTTAAAAGTATCATGTTTTATGAAGTAACCATATTTCTCTTCTAAATTCCGAACCGAACAACATTATTTCAGTTTGGGTTCGGTTTACTTCGATTTTGGCCCGTTTCAGTTCGGGTTTACAAACTGGATGCCCACCCCTACTTTGATGAGCTTTCCGGCATAGTTAGAACAATATCATTGACTTCAATTGGCTTGAAAAATCCTCTAACTTCTTCTTTCTGATTTATTGGAGTAAGCTTTCTTGTTTCAAAATCTCTCTTCAAGTTCATACTTCCTAAGTTTTTTCTTTTTGCTTTGGAAATAGTAGACACCTTGTGTAGCTCTTCATTCTTCTTCTTACCGTTAGGTCTCTTATTTGTAAGCCTTTCCTTGTAATTTGCCAACTCACCATTCGCTTGGTTGGCATCGAATTTAGATTCCATATTCACCCATACTATTTTTGGGCTCGGTGGTGAGGTTGGTGTAGGAGTCACTGGCTCACAATCATGAGCAACATATTCCCACTTGTAGTATTTGTGAAAAGAGGGGATTAGAGCCATGGTGTAATTTATATCCTCTTGACCGAACCTTAGGGTTATACGATTGCACTTAAATCAATGATGGTCGCAGTTGCTAATAATTGTCTCCCGAGGATGATAGGAGAATCATCGCATCCTTCCATATCCATAATCACGAAATCCACCATGTAGACAAAGTGAGTACACTTTACAAAGACTTTCTCGACCACTCCCTTAGGTGTCGCAACTGATCGATTGGCTAGTTCAACCTTCATGCTCATTGGTATGAGAGTGTTGAGGCCAAGATCCTTATAGATCTTTGTCGGCATGATGTTGATACTTGAGCCTAAGTCCGCAAAAGGTGTCCAGAATGTCTTATCACGAAATGTGTATGGAATTGTGAAGAATCATGGATCTCTTCTCTTGGGAGGCCGCCTTGTCATAGTTAGTCGAGGAGACTGAAATAAGAGAATCCATGGCAACTTGTCCATCTTCCTCTCCCCAGACAAGATCTCCTTTAAAAACTTTGTATAATTTGGGACCTTCATCACAATGTCTAGAAACAGTATTGTGACCTTTAATTGTTTCAGCATGTCCTTCCATTGACCACATTCACGGTGCAATTCACTTTCAAAAGCTCTCTTTTGGTATGGAAGCATGGGAAGGCATTCTGGTATCTTGGTCTTGGCCTTCTCTTGATCTTCTTCTTCTATCTTCTTTTCTTGGTCATCAATATCACTTGAGATTCTCTTTCCTTCGTTTGAGACTCTTCGGTGTGTTATTGGGTTGTCAGACCATACAAGATGAGAAATGGGAACCCTCACCCTTAATGGTGATGCAATGTCTTAGTAGTCCTACCACTTTGAAGAGTACCTTAGCCTACTACCCCATGAAGGGGGGGGGGGGTGGAAGAGAGCCATGGAAAGGAAGGAATAAAACATGAATAGGGGTTCCTTGTTGTGCAGGGAAACTCCTCTTTCATCCCTTCTTCTTATCTTCGTCACTAAGGTAGCAACTTCTCTCTCTAGTTCCTCTTTCTAGGGTTTTGAGCTTCCAAAATCATGTGAAATGAGGGGAGGAACCCTCTATTTATAGAGATCCTGAGGGACGAGCAGGTTCACGACTGAACTTCACGAGATCATGATTACGATCTTTGTCATTAGGCTGCAAAGTTGAAATGACGGCGTACTCGGCTTCTCAGATGGAGACATCATGGCCTCGACTTCGCGTTCGCAAGTAGGAAGTCACGATCATGATCTTTCTCGCGTTCTCAATCTTGAAGGCCCGTGAGGTGGAACACAAGACCTTCTATGCTCTTGTCCGCAGCTTCTCCAATTTCACTGCTCAGGCAATCTAAAATCACGACAGTGAACTATGTACCTCGGCCGTGATCTTTTCCTGACCTTTGACTTCACGCCCTTGAACCCTGCTCCTTGGCTTTGATCTTCTATATTCATCATTTTAGCACGTTTTCCTTACACTTGATCTCAATTTCTTTGACAAAAATGCTTCTAACCATAAATGACGGTTGAAACACAACCAAAACACAAGAGGAGGCATACCTAGGCCAAATCAAGAGTTAAAAAAGTTGCATGAATGCTTTAATTTGCAAGAAAACATCCAAGAAATGAGGGTTAGATAACAATATTTTAGTTGTTATCGACGGCCCAACGGCGGGTTGGACCCGTCATGGATTCCTTCCTCTGTTTGGGTTGTAACTTCTCTAGTGAGCTCCTCTTGGGCTCATATGAAGACTTCCTCTAAGGCCTCCCTTCGTTTGGCTTCGATAAATGGACGAATCACTCCTTACTCTTCTGATAGTTACCCCTTTGATCTTTTTATTTGATCTAATGACTGATCCAACCATCATTGATTGTGTTTTTCCTTAAAAGTACAAACTATACCAAAAAGGCATAAAATGATACTAAAATACAGCATAGGTCTATTATAAATACATTGATCAAATAGTTGTTAATTCCATATAAAATATAGTAAAATGTGCTAAAAATACAAGGGGATATTTATCAAATATGGTAAGCAATAAATACTATAATTTTAGTGTTATCACATATTCATTAGTCTATTTGTTTCTCAAACTTCTATTGATTTTAGTGGTTGCCATTTGCAAGTGCAAGTGTGGAAATAACTTTTAGTTTTTAGTTGCATCAAGAATAACCTTTGGAATTGCATAGACGATAAGTTTATTTTTGAGTCTACTCGAGCTTAATTATACATGTTTTACCCTTCATATCTTGGTCGTTTGACTTGGCACATAGCATTCTTTGGCCTATTTTACACTAGGTTGTGCTTTGTTTAACAAATTTCATGTCGTATGACGTAAATTTGACCAACGAACGAGTTTCAGTACATTTAGAGGTGAGAATGGGCATAAATGCATCAGGGGAGCATATGTCATGATCTAGGGCGTGACATTTAACAAATATGTCATGGTCGACAGCAAGACTGTAATTCACGGGCAATTTCATATCTTACGGCTTGGTCGTGACATAAGACACAAACCCATGACTTACACCCAAAAACAGTGCGAACTAGCGCATTTTGCATAGGTCTCGACCTGTGTCATGGTCGTGACCAGCAATGCTCGAGTATAAAGCTGCTACTACGATTTTGAGAAGGGGAGAGCTAGGATTTTCACCCAAAAACACCTAAGAGCCGTCCAAAGAGTGGGAGAGTAACCTAGGAGGATTTTTGGAGCTAAATTGGAGGTGCCCAACCCCATTGGAGTTAGGAGATGAAGATTGAAGATCTTGAGCTTTATACTGTATTCTCTCTCTCGTCTGTATGGATTAGTTCTCCTTCATTGAGGTGTTGATAAACCTTAGCCATGTTCTAGCTTTGTGTGATTAGAATTGATGTTTGAATGATTCTTTTGATTATATATTGAATTGAGTTATTATCATTAAATTGTGTGGGTATTGATCATAACTCTCCAATTTGGGGCTGTTAACCTAGCAAGGAGAATATCCCACCAGGTTGATTAGAGCATTTCTCAATTCTTCATTGTGGTCCTATGGATCGAGCATGAAATCGTACTACAATGTTGTATTGGATCATTATCCATAAGTGGAGGTCGAAATTGCATGCCTTAGGTGTTCTATGTTGCCGGATGTGGAAACTCTCCTTCCGGATTATCCATCCTAGGTGAGCTTGGATAACTCGAAAGGTAGTTCAAGCGGGTTTAGGATTCTCCACGCTATAAGTCTCAAGTGGGCAAGCGAGGATAGTCAATATCAGTATGGTTAGTGGCTAGGGGGATTGAATGCCTAAGCGAGCTCCCAACTTGTAATTAGCTAGTGTAGTTGTTAGAGTTAGTTTGGTTAGTTTAGTTCCTAAATCTTCAAACCTTGGGTGGCTAGATAACCAACCGAAGCAAAGCAGTGGTACATTTACAAATCTATGAATTCAACAATTTATTACGTTACTTCCACTATACTACACCCGATCGTTGGTTATACTTGTCCTTCGATTATGAAAGTAGTTTAGAGTCGAGTCTATGATTTCAGTGAGGTATATAGACAAAGATTTAATAAGCAATGTAAACACTGAATTAGTTTAAAATTTTTTCAAAATATGTAACTTGTGCTACATGTATATTGTCTAACTTAATTTTTTGTTCTTCATATTTTAATTTAATTTTAGAAAAGTACACGTAACTCAAATTCCTAGTTAAGGCCGGATGACTGTAAAAAAAAAAAAAAGAAGCTTAAGGCCGGATCCTACTATAGCTACAGTCTACTGATGAACTCAGGACTCTGGGAAAACTACGGCCACATTCATAGACCCATTTCAGACTCAAGGTCTCACACTCTTTGGGGGGTTTTCACCCTGAAAATCCGAAGCCAAAAATGCCACTTTTCTCGCATCGTGGCCATTCCTCATCCTCCTCTTCTCTCCCAACAATCAGCTCCAAAACCTTCAAACCTCAAAAACCCAGCTTCTTTCCCTCTCCCTTCTCCGCCCGCCATGCCTCCCCTTTAATCCTCTTCTGCTTCTTCTCGCTCTTCGTTGGCATTGCCGGAACCTTTTTTGCTATCGTTGCCATCCTACGCCACCAGCCTCTACCCGTCTACCGCTGCGGCGGATCCGAAGATGCTTTCCGTGCATTTTACTCCTCATCGACTCACCATCTTGGAGGAGATCAAAGTGCCCACGGTTTGGTTGATCGCCCAAAAGTTCTTGGGTTTGTCGGGATTCAGACGGGTTTCGAATCTGTTGATCGTCGTGCTGCCCTAAGGGAAACTTGGTTCCCTGCCGACCCAGATGGCCTTTTGAGGTAAATTCGCTGAAATTGTTCGTCGATGATGTTATATTGTTCCAGTTGATGCGCTGGTAATGTATTCTACTGTTCATCATCAGTCCACAAAGTGATGGAAATACATTAATCAGTATATAGCTAAGCTTCTGAATAAAAATTCGTAGAACCCAGATTTGAGAAAGATCTTATTTACTCGTAGCTGAACTACTGAATTAAAATTCATGGAACCTATTTTAGTAAGATTTGATTCGTTGATACCCAACTACCAGTTATTCGTAGTATATGTAGGAGACTTCTTGCATCATTGTGTTAATTTATTGTTTTGGACACAAAATGATCTGTCATGACTCATGAGGATCTTGAAGTTAGTTGTTTACCGGAGCATGTCTTCATTCTCATTCCTTGTCCCAGAGAAGCATTCTGTACAGTGTTAATACACACATGTTTCATTTTGTATTCGGATTTGTGGACTGGATATGATTCTATAACTGGGTGGCACAAGGATCCTAATTGTATTATAATTGAATAATATTTTGATAGGTTGGAGCAAGCCACTGGTTTAGCATTTAGGTTTGTAATAGGGTATTCAAGAGATGCAAAGAAGATGGCAGAGCTACAGAAAGAGGTGGAGAAATATCGAGATTTCCTGATTATAGATAACGAGGAAGAATACCTCAAGCTTCCATACAAGACGTATGACAACTTGTGCTTCATTTTTCCACTCCTTGTAGTAGTTCAATAATTCAATTGTCTAAGAACCCTTTTCTTTTTCCCATATAGATTGACATTTTTCAAGGCAGCCTATGAACATTTTGAAGCAGATTATTATGTGAAAGCCGATGATGACATTTACTTGCGTCCAGGTATTTAATTTCAGATTCCCCATGTAGATATAGTAAATTGGTTAGAAGGAATCAATATATCTAATGTCATATTGGTTCTAGATCGGTTAGCAACTCTTCTTGCAAAAGAAAGAACCCATTCACGGACCTATATAGGTTGCATGAAGAAAGGACCAGTGATCACTGACCCCAAGTTGAAATGGTAACTTCTCGGTTAGTGTGGAGTTGTTATGACACAGACAGCCTGTTTTTTCATAACCGTCCGGATTCTACCTCTGCATAAGAGTACTTCTAAGTCTAACGTCGACAATTGTGCAGGTATGAGAAATCAGGACATCTGATTGGCAATGAGTACTTCTTGCATGCTTATGGCCCTATATATGTGCTTTCGGCCGAAATCGTTGCTTCACTGGCAGCTGCTAGAAACAATAGGTATGCCAATCTACATAATTTTCTTCTATTTATGAATTCTCTGCTGTTGAAATATCTAGTACATTGGTCGAGTCTGGCTTTCTTTCTTTTGTTTTAGCATGATTATTTACTTTTGTTGGAGTTATTCAAAAGGAATTTTACCACAGTAATATTGGCCATCTTGTTGGACAAAAAGCTGAAATTAGGTATTTGAGCCCACTAGTAATGTTCTACTTCTCCATTGGTGGTATATAGTATGTGAGGCAATGATTAGTAATGCTGCTAGCTAGTGACACTAGTGATCATGAAGCTTCAACACTTAGCTATTGTAACATGCTCAACTTCCTTAGTTACTACATTCATAAGTCACCCAACATTCTTCTACATGTGATGATTTAAGTCAGACCATTTCTTCTTACCTCCCTGCTCCTCCTCTGAGGTCTATTGGTGCTGGTCCATCTTAGGTCATCTTCTTATCACCTTGTTACATTTATAGGAAGGTTGATGGGCCTTGTTGAAGGTAAGGTTTCTAGAAGGTAATGATATCATGCATCTTCATTCGGGGCGCCTGAATCCTGATTAACAGTAGTGACTAGGTGTTCAATTTTATTCTGATTTAAAGAATACCAAGACCTTGCAGTTCATTAGGACTTTCAGTATCAATTGTTCCACAATGATGTATCCCAACTTGCTAGTGGTTCCATGATGTCTCTGAAGCACTAAGGGAACAATCAAATTCCTTGTTTAGTTTTCTAGACATTAACTTCTGGTGCTAAGTTTTCTACTCTGCTTACCTTTTTGTTTCAAGAGGATATAAGTTAATTATGTCACTACAGTGAGTTGTCTAACTATTCTTATACTAATAGTTGGAACATTTGAGCTACCAGTTTCAGAATGTTTAGCAATGAAGATGTTACTATTGGGTCGTGGATGCTTGCAATGGATGTGAAACATGAAGACAACCGAGCAATATGCGATCCTCAATGTACTTCAAGATCTATAGCTGTTTGGGACATTCCTAAATGCTCAGGTATCAAGTGAAGGGGGGGGGGGGGGGGGCCATAACATACTGTTTTTCAGTGCAATAAAGTTACATAGTGTCTACTTTTCGTTGCTAAAGAGGTATTTTGTGAGAAACACGGATAATCGAATCAGAAATTAGGGTTGAGAATAGAAGAATTAGGGTTGAGAATTGGGAATTGAGATGAGAATTGAAGAAGAGATGAGGAATTAGGTTTAGGGATTCTGATATTCTGCTTGATTCCTCAAAATAACAAAGACTGTAGCTTAAATAGTTCTCCCTCTCTAATAATGACAAATTACCCAAATACCCCCAAATACCCCCTCTAGGCCACTCGGCCCCTCTCACATCGTGTCTCTCACACTCCCCCCTTCTTCCAGACCGAGCTTGTCCTCAAGATCGAAGGCCGGATAGGTCTGGCGAATAGTCTCCGTGTCCTCCCAAGTAGCTTCTTCCGGCGCCAAGTGCCTCCACTGAATCAAGCTCTCGGAGACCCGCCTCTTGCCACGGAGGGGCCAGCGGACATCCAACACAGCCTCGGGCTCCAGCTCCAATGCGCCATTCTCGTTCACCGGCGGCTCGGGTGGTGGGTCAGACGGTGCTACTCCTCGGTACCTGCGCAGAAGTGAGACATGAAAAGTCGGGTGAATCCGAGATGCATCCGGTAGCTGCAACCTGTACGCCACGGCTCCGATCCTCTCCAGCACCTGGTACGGCCCAAAATATCGGGCCGCGAGCTTCTGGTAAGCTCTCTTAAACACTGACGTCTGCCGGTAAGGGTGCAGCCTGAGTAGGACCCAATCGCCCACTGCAAACTCCTCGTCTCGCCTTCCGGAGTCCGCCTGCTGCTTCGACCTGTTGTTGGAAGCGGCCAAATTGGCCTTCAACTGTTGCAGTGCCTCATCCCGGTCCGCCAACCACCTGTCCACCACATCCACTGCACTCGCCCCTGACTGGTACCGGACCAACATCGGTGGCGTCCTCCCGTAGAGAGCCTCGAAGGGAGACATCTGAATAGATCGATGGTATGTGGTATTATACCACAGCTCCGCCCAGGGCAGCATAGCGAGCCAACGGCGCGGCTGCTGGTGAGCAAAACACCGCAGGTACTGCTCCAGTATCTTGTTCACCACCTCAGTCTGCCCATCTGTCTGAGGATGATAGGCCGAACTCATCTTCAGCTCCGTTTTCGCCAAGGCGAACACCTCCTTCCAGAACCTGCCCAGGAACAATGCATCTCGATCACTCACTATCGAGCGGGGAAACCCGTGGTGCCGAATGACCCCCCAGACAAACTGCTCTGCTACACTCCGGGCAGTATACGGATGAGCTAGGGCCATGAAGTGTGCATATTTGGTGAGGCGATCCACCACCACCAAAAGAACTGTCTTTCCACCCGACGGCGGAAGACCCACGATGAAGTCCATGCTAATATCTTCCCATACCCGCTCCGGCACTGGCAGTGGCTGAAGTAGTCCTGCTGGCCTCAGCTGGGAAGCCTTGACCCGCTGACAGGTGTCACAGGATGCAACGTAATCCTTGACCTCGCGGGTCATCTGTGGCCAGTAGAAATGACCGCGAATCTTCCTCAAGGTCCTCTCGTACCCCGAATGGCCGCCCACCGGCGAATCGTGAAATTCCCTCATCACAGTCGTCGTGAGGGAGGTGGCTGGAGGTAGAACCACGCGACCCCGGTGAAACACCAATCCGTGCCTGAAGGTATAGTTGCCAGGTGTCTGACTGAGAGCGATATCCCGGCGCTCCTGCAGGAACGGACTCGCCTCCACCGCCCTTCTGACCTCCTCCCAGAACAACACCACCGGCCCTGTCACTGCCGCCACCTGCGGCCTCCACTCCACCCGCGAGAGGGCATCCGCGGCCTTGTTCATCGGCCCTGGTCGATAGTGCAACTCATAGTCGTATCCCATCAATTTCACCACCCACTTATGCTGGTCTGGGGTGGACACCCTCTAGTCCATCAAATGCTTGAGACTCTGGTGATCGGTGTAGATCCGGATCTTCTGACCGATCAAGTAGGGTCTCCACATCTGGACCGCCTCAGTAATGGCGTGCATCTCCTTCTGGTAGGTGGACCAAGCCTCCTTAGATGGAGGGAGGGTACGGCTCATGAAGGCGATGAGATGCCTTTCCTGTGAGAGAACCGCCCCAATTCCCCGGCTAGAGGCGTCAGTCTCGATGTCAAAAGGCTGAGAGAAGTCCGGTAAGGCCAGAACTGGTGTCGATGAGAGGGCGGCCTTGAGCTCCACAAAAGCTCGCTCTGCTTGGGGATTCCAGCTAAATCCCCCCTTCTTCAGCAAGGCATTCAACGGACCGGCTATAGAACTGTACCCCTTCACGAACCGCCTGTAGTAGCCAGTAAGACCGAGGAAACCCCGCAGCTCCGTTGCCGACTTCGGCACCGGCCAGTCCATCATGGACTGAATCTTCAACGGATCCACCCTAACTCCGTCGCCTGAAATAACATGGCCCAAATAGTCCACTGACTGGACCCCAAAGGCACACTTCGAAGCCTTCACATAAAACTGGTTGCTTCGTAATATCTCAAACACCTCCTACAAATGCTGCATATGCTCTTCCCAAGTCTTACTGAAAACCAGAATATCGTCAAAGAATACCAAGACTGACCTGCGGAGCAAGGGCCGAAAAATGTCGTTCATGGCAGCCTGGAACGTCGATGGTGCATTACAGAGTCCGAACGGCATGACCAGGTACTCGTAATGGCCACTATGCGTCCGAAAAGCCGTCTTAGGAATGTCCTCCTCGTGCATACGTATCTGGTGGTACCCTGCCCGCAGATCGAGCTTGGTAAAGTACTGGGCACCCCGTAGCTCGTCTAGCATGTCATCCACCGTGGGAATGGGAAAACGATCTCGGACAGTGGCGGTGTTGAGTGCTCGGTAGTCCGTACAAAACCTCCAGGTGCCATCCTTCTTCTTCACCAGCAACACCGGTGAGGAGAACGGGCTGGAACTTGCCCGAATCAGCCCGGCTGTCATCATCTCCTCCACCTGCCTCTCGATCTCGGCCTTCTGGTTATGTGCATACCGATAGGGGCGAACGTTAACTGCGTCCGTGCCCTCCTTCAGCCGAATCCGATGGTCCACCTGGCGCTGTGGAGGAAGCTGGGTCGGCTGCCCAAAGAGCTCCTCGTACCGGTCCAGCAATGCCTGTAAGTCTGGGGCTAACGGCTGCGGATCGGCTGACCCCAGTGGCCAACAGAGCACAGCTAGCTCGGCATCCTCCTCCAGCTGTGGGTCACCCCACTCCACCGGCCCAATTGCCGTGGTCAACCCCTGGAGTTCCCAGTCCTTGTCCCTCCATTTGAACTTCATAACCATCTTCACCCAGTCGCTAGTCACCGGTCCCAAACTCTTCAGCCAAGGCATGCCCAAAATGATGTCGAAGCCCTGCAAGGGTAGGACGTACAAGTCAAGAGGGACCTGCAGCCCTTGAATCCTCACAGTCACTCCTGCCAATTTCCCGGTGCACTGCAGCGGCGCCCCATTGGCCACCTTCACCTCGAATGGAACGACTGTCACCTGTGATGTAGGTAATCGGCGTACAAACTCTGCTCCGACGAAGTTGAGAGAAGCCCCGCTGTCTACTAAGGCCACTCCCCACTCCCCTGCGACCTGCGCCCTGAAACGCAGCGTAGCCGAACCCGCTGTCACGCCGGCGGCCACGGCGGAGATGGCCTCCTGCTCGTCGCCGCCCCCCTTCTCCTGCGGAGCTGCTGCCGCCGCCGAGGGCCTCTCCTCCTCCCCGGTCAGCCGTCGCGAGCCAGGCCCGCCCGGCGCGCTGGGCGCGCTCCCCATCGCCGCGTCGCGCGTCTCACTCGCCGCGACGGTCGCGGCCTTCCCCTGCGCGAGCAACTCCCGCCGCGGCGCTGCTGTCGGCACCGCTGGGCCAGCGGAGCTCGGGCCCTCCACCGCGTCGCCCCTTCGCCGCCAGTCGGCGGCTACGCGCTCCAGCCGGTCGAGGACGTCCCGCAGACGAGCATCGAGCGCAAGCTCGTGGTCCCTATCAGAGAGTCCTTGAGAACTCATATCGACAGGCTCTGATACCAATTGTGAGAAACACGGATAATCGAATCAGAAATTAGGGTTGAGAATAGAAGAATTAGGGTTGAGAATTGGGAATTGAGATGAGAATTGAAGAAGAGATGAGGAATTAGGTTTAGGGATTCTGATATTCTGCTTGATTCCTCAAAATAACAAAGACTGTAGCTTAAATAGTTCTCCCTCTCTAATAATGACAAATTACCCAAATACCCCCAAATACCCCCTCTAGGCCACTCGGCCCCTCTCACATCGTGTCTCTCACATATTTCCATGGGTTTGCTTTGGTATCGTGTTCATACCGTCGTATTGAATGATCCCGGTCGTTTGCTGTCTGTTCATATAATGCATACAAACTCCATTGAATTTCTAAAGAATAAAGAATTCTGTTTGAATCCATTTTTTATTTCTTGTTCTTTCAAGATAGGAACACGAGAATCATGGAAATAATTTTTCTTATTATCTATTGAAGTTTCACAAATCCGTTGCATCATGTACAAACAATTAGGTCCATCCTTCACAGTTGGGTTTTCATAGAACAGTTCCTTTTCATGTGTATTTTTCTATATGGTATTCTGCATAATTAACTGGGCCTGCAAGTCGAATTTGTGCTCATTCACATGCTACATTTTTTCCAGAATTGCCATGGTTACTCATTTAGTTGACTAGTGAATGACCTACAAAAAACAGCACTGTTGTTGTCCCTTTTCTATCAGCTACTGAACTTGCAAAGAATATCAGGTCTGTGTAATGCTGCTAGCCGTATGAGAGAGCTTCACAAAACTGATATGTGCTCCAAGAGCCCAACCTTACAATCAGATAACAGATGAAATGCGTTGGGGCGAAATATTGTGATTCTGCAATGCTCACCACTGCAAGAGGAGCTGACTTGTGGGCACTACCTTAGTTCTGAGATGAAGTCGCGTTGACTTAATATGTTTTGTCTGCTAAGAACGGGAAGTGAACAGTTCGTTACGACACCTATATCATTCATTCTCAGATGTATAGCTGTATAATATGTTCCTAGTTCCTACAGAAGTTAAACGCCTCATTCTTTATATGTTACTAACAACTGTTCGTTTACCACAACAAGTGGAGGCAGCTGCTGCATACTCTGCGATGTAGCTGGGGCTCGACATCATCACTGGTTGCTTGGGGTAAACGTTAACTTAGAGCTATAAGTTTGGGTTTGTTTCGAGATGATGAATATGGAAATTTTAAGTAACTACGTGAGGTAGAAATTGTGTAGTTTTTCGGTGGAAGCGTTATGGGTGAAATGCTGTGTGGATAGTTTTGTGTAGTTTTATGTTCTCTAATTGCTACAAGTAGTTTTGAATATATTATGTGGCTTTAAGCTAGTTTTTTCTCGTGATCGGTTCAACTTCTAAGGTATTGAATCATAATCAATGTGACTTTTAAGTTTTTAATAGATTATATGGCTTTAAGTTATGAATAGATTATGTTCTAATGTCGGTTATAATTTCTTCTAAACTTTGTGGCTCAATACATTCATCACTTTCACTTAGATATCCAAACAATTGACTTAAATCCATTTTATTAGGATAACCTATAGTATTAATCATATCATCAATTTTATTAACATCATCTTGAAAATTTAGTTGACTTGAGTTGGCTTCATCCTTTGAACGGATTTCGCAAAGGTGAAAGCAATATGCTTAAAAATTAAGTTTTAAAAGTATAACAAATTATATTTGCACTAAAATAAACTAACGCACACCATATATGAATATAATTTTGGACTTTGCTACGGTGACATGCATGTCACCGTGACATGCACTTTTCGGTCGACCTCATATAGGATCAGGTCGACCTAATCAGTTGTTTCAGTGTAAAAATAGTTTCATGGTGCCTACTTTGGAGATTCATATCTTACAATTGGCTAGATGGAAATTGGATATTAAAGGCTTGTTTTGAAGCTGAAGTGTCCCTCTACACATTAAAGTACTTGGGAGCTCAATAGAAAGTCCAGAAGACTATTTTTTAACCTGACCAAAAGGCTATGCCAAAACTGGGAAACTGCCTGAAAATGGCTAAGTATGGCAACGTGTTTGTCAAGCCTACTTTGGAGCTCAATTTGAGAAGCATGGATACGAGTCAAGTCCAGGGGCCTCTACCACGCTAAATTACGTATTTTTTATACAAAGGCAAGGCATTGAATGAAAGATTGAATATCTTTAAGGTTTCAAACAAAAGGCTCGAAGTTGCTACGAAGGCTGTTTTCTGGCAGCTTGCTTGTGCTTGAAGTCTGCCAGAAAAACAGCCTTCGTAGCAACTTCGACCCTTTTGTTTGAAGCCTTAAAGATATCCAATCTTTCATCCAATTCCTTGAATTTGTATAAAAACATACCTAATTTAACGTGGTAGAGGCTCCTAGACTCGACTCGCATTCATGCTTCTCGAATTGAGCTCAAAAATAGGCTTCACAAACACGTTTCCAGACTTGGCCATTTCTAGGCAGTTTCCCAGTTTTGGCATAGCCTTTGATGAGGTTCAAAAATGGTCTTCTGGACTTCCTATCGAGCTCTCAATCACTTCAATATGTAGAGGGACACTCCAGCTTCAAAACAAGTCATTAGTCTTCAATTTCCATCTAGCCAATTGTATGATATGAATATCCAAAGTAGGCACCATGAACTGTTTTTACACTGAAACAACATATTAGGTCGACCGGATCCTATATGAGGTCGACCGAATCCTAAATGAGGTCGACCGGATCCTATATGAGGTCGACCGAATTCTAAATGAGGTCGACCTAATCCTAACTGAGGTCGACCGGAAAGTGCAAGTCACCGTGACATGCATGTCACCGTAGGCACACCCTATAATTTTAAGATTAGAAAGTCGTTTCTATTAACTATACACATTATAAAACATCTCTTTAAATTAATAAATTATTAATTTATTGATAAAAAATTAATTTTTGGGGTCCTAACTATGTTAATTATAGAGGATTTACTGTATTTGGATTTAATAATTTTTCCGAGGAAGTATTAATACAATTTAGTAGTCAAATATTTCATTCTATAAAAAATGAATAACCAAATTTATTAAAGTCGCAATAATATAAGGCTTAGTTTCAATATAAAATCCTTCCTATAGGTAATACTACAAAACCATATCTAATTATTGTAATTTGAGAAGAAAAGATCAAATGGTCCATATCATAAATGTGTAAAAGAGGAAAATAAGGGGTTTTGGAGACCACTGACCGAATTTTTTTAGCTGCCGACTAAATTACTTATGAATGGTTCAGATTTCAGGTGCGTTGTTTAGTGTTTAAGCAATTTTCAAATCTCTGACAAATTTTAAACGAAAAATATCTCATTCTTTTTGCACCGGATTTCTTTTTTTTTTTCATAGAAAAATAAGATTTTTTGTGCTCTACAAAAGGTAACATCCCATACCTTTTTCCCGACGAAGATATTGTCCACTTTGAGCCTCAACCCTCACGATTTTCGACTTGGGGTGCAATTCAAGGTGACTTTAAAATAGGTCACCCATCCTTATTGTACTCCACACTAAGCATGTTTAACTTTGGAGTTCTCTTTCATTTCACCTCACAACGCGTCTTGTCAGTTAAGGTCGGTTTCTTACTATGAACCATGGATCTCTCCGGTGTTTTGTTGATGTGGGATTTGCCTAAGGTGTTACATACACCCCCTTGGGACTCAACGCCCTCGTTGAGGTTTGCCCCACAATCGTTCAAGAGGGACACATAGAGGCTCTGATACCACTTGTAACACCCAGAACATTTCCCGACGAAGATATTATCCTCTTTGGGCCTCAACCCTCACGGTTTTCGACTTGGGGTGCAATTCAAGGTGACTTCCCATAAGGTCACTCATCCTTGTTGTAATCCACACTAAGCACGTTTAACTTCAAAGTTCTCACAAGACCTCCTCCATTTCACCCCAAAATGCATCTTGTTAGTTAAGGTCGGCTTCTTACTATGAACCATGGATCTCTTCCGTGATTTGTCGATGTGCGATTTGCCTAAGGTGTTACACAAAAGGATACCCATTATAATATTGTTTCTAGCAAAACTTTTCACAACATCATACAACTACCCTATCTATCATGATATGAGACAAGTATGATGGTGTTGTCTAATGTAGAAAACTAGTGATTAATTATAGGAGTGCCTAGGGTTGTATTCCACAAGGTCTTTTGATAGTAACTCAAACCTAACCAGATGTGTCGAATGATGATGCAATGAAAAGTAAAACAAGTGGATTGAGGTGCCCTTAGTCAAATTACTACTCTACTAATGAAGAATGAACCAAACAATGCAAGCAAGTAATGAAAGGAAGTAACACAATTATTTAGGGATATGATTTCTTAGATGATCATGCATACTAACTCATTGATAAGATGCCACAATGTCTCATCTATTAGGATGCCCTATCCCTTTGACTAAGGCTAACCTACCCGAGTTTTCACCACATGCGATATAAATTTATTTAGCTAATGTGTGCTTTCACTTCATGCCACCAACTAATTAATGAAGAGCAAGGAAGTAAGGATATCATATGGTCAAATGTGGGCCTCTTGAGCCATAACTCATAGTCTATAGCATCGATGATTTAGTAATCAAGCCTCCATACATGAATAGGTTGTCAATTAATCCATACATGCATGGGATATCACATGAACATCATAGAATTCACATCCCTAAACAGTCGAGCTAGTAATACAAGAGAGCGTAGGAATGCATCACCAATGATGAAGAACATTGATGGTGCGTCCTCCTAGTCAAACTCCTTATGGGCTTACTCCTCTCTATGGATCTCTAATTTGTGCCCAGTGGGGCATAGTGTTGGTAAAAAGGGTGTTTCTAAAACTCTATTCAAGCCTCCTATTTATTCTAGTTACATAAGATTTTTTTAAGACCTTTTCCTCTTAAAGTCGGCCTAATCCTTCCTTGTACGACTTGGACTTGGATTCCTTTAACTTTTGGATGAAGTTACCTTGAAGAGGAAATTTCAGGAGGACTTGCGCCCGAGCGATAACTGGACGGCGGTAGTACCCGCCGCTGGATTTTCTTCTCCAAATCGCCCCATTTTTTGGTGAGTAACTTCATCTTGGGCTCATTGAGCTACTCCTCAAATTTCAGTTTGTTTGGACTTCGTTTAACCCGTATGCTCTTCAAAAAGATATTCTCTGGTCCATCACTTGAGCTTCTGGTATAAGAATCCATATCCGTTTGATCCCATGAGCTTGTAATCTCATCCTCCTTCTGATCCATTGGGTCCCTTGGTGATCCATTAGGTAAACTATTGCCATGCATATGTGAAAATTTGTGTTCTTTAGAAAAATATGAAGCATGTTTGATATTGTTTTTAAGAGCGCTCATAACCTGAAACAACCTATAACCCGACCCGATGGGTTTGGTCAATGATCCTGGCTCAGAAAGAACGCTAGCTATATGCTTAACACATGCAAGTCGAATGTTGTTTTCGGGGCTATTCAAGTTGACATTCACGAATCACAAATCTATGCCAATTTGATTCGAAACCAACCAAAACAACATGAACCGACCCGTAGCCCAATTCCCCAACCCAAAATTACCCAACCTGACCCGATTGTCAGATCTAGTCCATCATGAAAGTTGAATTCCTATCCATTGAGACCGTCGGAAAAGAAGCAGAATGGCTAAGAAATATGTTGTTAGATATATAGCTGTGGCCACAATCGATGCTATCATTTCTGTCTTTTGTGAGAGTGAGGATACTTTTCTTGTAGCTTATAAAAAGATTTACAATGGTAAATCTTGACACATTAGGTTAACACATGATTACGTTAGATATTTGATTACTGACGAAATCATTTCATGCAATAATTGGGCATATCCTCTTACCTTGAAAATTGCCAAGAGGCATGATCTACGAGACATCCTAAGGAATGGGATTGAGGCCTTTTGAACGGTTAGAATTAATGGAAACCCAACCTTTTCTTTATGTATTTGCTAATGAAAAGGTTCAATGTGGCAATAACAAGTTACTCTAGCTGATGTATTAATTTGTTGAACAAACAAATTAGTTGACATAAGGGTGAGTTATAGAAATCTTAATGATGTTTATTTGGAATGTCACCTATTTGAGCATTGAGAGTGGTGTCGATATAACAAAAGCAGGGGTAAACTTTTGTGTGTGCTCATGATACAAGATTAGCATATGACCATAAAAGTGCTACTCTTGTTGGTGGTTGTGGTTTAGAAAAGAGACAAGTAAATGTGTGGTTATGCTGGTTCCAGTTTCGAATCGTGACTCCTAAGCTTGAGCCCCCAACACTAATTTGCTTTGAACTTCAAATTACTTATACTGAGTAAAGATTCAAATCAAAAAGATACATTTATGTATGA